CCAAAAACATGTTACTTTAGTCCAGTTTTGTGATTTCTCAACAAAGAACAAAGTGTATGAATTATTTTTTAAAACACATTATAACATAGGAAACGTTTTTTCATATAAGCAACTTCATTATTATCTCATTCTCTCAGGCTCTGCTTAGAGGGTTAGAGCTGTGTTGCAGACCTGAGTTTTTCACTTTGACCCATTATAGAGCTTGTATATCAACAGAATTGTCTGAATATGAGTCTAATTTCTACTTCTGATGTAGAAGTATTGCTTCCAAGCTCAAGAACAGAAATCTTCTTCCACTTCACCACCATACAGTTATAGTTGCTTTTATGTGCCATAATGACAAAATAAGCATGCTACAGCTGCAATTACAAGTACTTTTAAAAACTTCCAAATACACACACACACACTCTGATAACAGACAAGTGTTGGTTGGTTATCATTTTTCACAGTAATTCTTAAAACTGCTGCTAATATTTTTAAATGTTAGAACAAGACTACCAACAACTGCACTATAAAACAATGAATGCAATAAAGTAAACACCAATGATAATTATAACCTCAAAGAATGCAATAAAAATACCAACTTAATAAACAAAACCAATATCAATGCTGCATCTATTCCACACCAAATAACTATTATACTGTTACCATACTCAGTCTTCTGAAATTAGACATAAAACTTACTGCACCCAAATTTACAGGGTGTAAACAACTTACCAAAAACTGGCTTTTTACATTACCATGTACAACATATGAATTATTTTCCTTGATATTATGCATTTAATTTTGGCCATGCTCTGCACTGTACTTTTAAACTGCTGAATCATATGTTCATACTATAGACTTACATAATTATAATGTGTCACAACCAAGAAAAATGTCTATACTGTAGAATACATTTCTTTTCTGTTGTTACAATATACAATTAAGACCATCAGGATCTACAGAATGCTGACTTAAGAATTCATTTCAACTTCAAGACTTGTTACTTTTGCAATACCAAAGACAATCTGCACACAAGTATAAAGTAGAGGACATGAATTAATCTATTATAGACCTCATGCAAACAGAATCAGTACTCAATAGTACTCCATGTCATTAGGTGTTTCTGTTGCCAACTACCTTAAGTGAAAACACTGGGTTATTAGACCATCAATACTTTATACAGCTGAAAATATATTTCACAATTAATTTACTTTCACTTCACATTGCACCTCTGCCTAATCCTAATAAAAGCAAAAACTGTCTCAAGTGCAACAGTTGGAGCTAATCATGTGCTCAATATGCCGGGAATGTCAAAACACCCTGATTCCTCACAATTATTTCTGAAAACTTTCTGTACATTACTTATGTTACATATCATGAAACTAAGAGGACTGCAGTAAATGCCACTGCATAAGAAATGGTATATCTTTAATAATCTAATTTTTTCAATGGCCACAAATTCTGTATTTTTATTGAATTTTAATGAAATATTGACTGTGAGCATGAATACAATGTTTATACTATTTAAGGGGAACCAAAAATGTTTATTACTTATGCTAATCAAAAAAAATATAAATAAAAGAAATTAATAACTGCAAATCACATTACCTTAAAACATTTTCTTGATATGATATATCTCAATATACTCATCCACACACAAGGCCACTTTACAGTTGAGACAATGATACTGTTTCTCATGTATTCCTATGTTTGGAAGACAAAACATAACTTTGTTGGTTCTGACTTCTTTTGTGACAGCTGTCAACCTCTTTACTATGCTGTCATAAACATGGGAAGTCAGCATAGGAATTTGTCACTTAATGCTTTTTAGATTTATTTATGAACAAACCCTGCACTAAACTCACCCTAAATTTAAAATGATCGACCTTGCTGAATATATTCTGTCAACTATCACTACATTCAACATTGTCACATTTAATATCCTATGGAATATCTTTCTGTGAGGTACCTATGTAACAGCTGGTGCTTCTCAGAAAAAGAGACTTTTGCAGTCTAGATCTCTCTTCATGCCAACTGGTCTTACTTCATCAGTATGGAATGTAGAGATCATTGCTACAGTTCTCTTCTTGCTGCACTTCACAATACACAGCACCACCATGTTATACCATAATTTAACTTTTCTTAAATTTTTCTCTCAATCTCTCTGTCCAATTTTAGAGTCTCTGCACAATGTCTTTTGTAACTAAGAATTTAGTGAGAGCTGGGAAACTGTAAAATTGTCCATCCAGACTGTGTATCTCTTAATAAGGAAGGGTATTGCTAATTTAAACATTATGACAGATGTTTTATTAATGTCACTGCTGATCACTGTACTTAAATTCATTCCCTGTATATACGAATGGCCCCACAGACAGTTCTAGAAACATACAAATGAAATATGTGAGGACTTTAGAGAAAGGAAATGTTTGAAAGCGTCAATTCCACAGAACTTATCTACAGATACATTCTTTGAGGTAATTATAGGATTTCAAATTCAAAAATTAAATGGTCATGGGGATGATTTATTTTAAAACATTTCAAGGAATTTTCATACTTGACTTTCAGGCTGTTGTTTGTGAAATGTTTTGTGTGGCAACTTTGCACTTAACCCTGAGTGTGGGGTTTCCACAGAGTGGAGACAGTGGTTGGGAACAATGGGGTGGCAGGTAGATTGCTGCCTTCCCCACTCAAGCAGCACAGAACGAGTTTTGCACTGGAAAAAATATGATCAAAATGCATTTTGTTACAGCTATGAAACTGAATGATTGGTTCAAAACTCCAAAAAGGAACAGAAAAATAATAAGACTATGAGAAAGCTTAACCAGAATGCTTATGTATATATCTACAATATTTTATTTACAAAAGTACACAAACGAGGATATGAAAAAATATATAATTTAAATTAGAAACAAACAGAAAATTTTAACATTTCCCCTATTCATTTGTCTTCAGATGAACTCCAGAATTCTGCATCTGTACTCATATAATCAAAACTCTATCCTAAGTAAAAAATCATGCTGTCAATTGCTTCATCCATTAAGTCTTCTTGTTTCCAATATTCCTCTTCCATATTCTTCTGGTGGAAGCAACAGTTTTGCCATTTTCCTTTCAAGTAATCAGCAAATACTTGTTCACATAAAAGTGTGTTTGCTTCAAATTCATAGATCTGCATTCTTCTATTACTGTATTTTTGATGTCTCCCAAAACCAATTAAATAAAACTTAAATTGGGATGTGAGGAAGGTGCAGTGAATCACATCTATTGAATAATAAGAAGAAGGTGTTTCAGATACAAATTAATGCAACTTTTTCTTCTTTTTTATGGATGTGTGCATTTTTAGTTTTGCACTATGTTATAAAAGTATAAGAATTTCAGTCAGAGTAACATAAATACATTTTGTCAGTGAATGTACCAAACACTGATAAGGAATTCCCTCTTTTCATCACAGCTCAACTGAGACATAGGCAGTGTTTATATTTCCCCTCACCAGCTAAACTTATTATTAGCAGCCTGGTAGTATGAATAGAAGGACTATATTATGCCCTAGCACACAAGCAGAGACCAGCAGTGACTTGCATTCTAAAGTACTGGTATGACAGGCAACCCTCCACTTTGCATATGTATACTGGAGAGTTCAGCACTAATTTGTCCTAATATAGGAACCTGTAAATTGATATGAATTGATCCAAAGAAATGGCATGACCAAATATGGGCATGGTTACCAGTTGATTGTGTGAAAAGTACAACCTTAATCTTGGTTGAGTTATGCTCATCACACTGAACAGCGATGTATATTTAATTTTATGCAATGGACTTTCCATTCATTCACCCATGATCCTTTATAAAATAAGTTTCCTTTGAAATATTCACATTCCAGAGAATAATGATTTTTTTATACTTCAATGAATCCAATACATTCCTTGCTAAAAACTGGTTAAAAATGTCAATAATTTCAGTCATACACTATGTACGTACGGTAACTACTGTAAACATTTCCCTTCTGCCAACACAATTTACATACAAATCTGTACTAACACTGCTTCCACTAGAATCACTACCAACATCTTGATCATTAATAATTAAATTCTATCATTAGTACTTTTATCTGAATCCATCACAGTATTATTTCAATCTGAAAGATCTTCTTCAGTATTTAATAATGTAGTCATTTCACTGTCTATCGAGCACCTCTGCTTTGATGGTGAACTTCAAACAATGAAGATTAGACTAAAGCAGTACCACAAACTACTGACAACATACATGAATGAAACAAATTAAAATGAATCTTTGACTGTGACTGTGCTTTTGGAAGCAGTATATAGACGTCACCTGACTAAAATGCGAGTGTTCTATAAATGAATGTCTTGGAGTGTCTGTAAATTCTGTTGGTCAAGAAGTTAAATTGTTCTTTCTCTTGACACAAACTTCACAATCTGTTCTGTCTAAAATATTTTAAAGATGGAAGCACCATAGATAAGTTTATTCATAGTGCTGCCATACAGGGCTTTCAAAATTGCAAGGACAAAAGTAAGAAGTCAAAATATACTTTAATGCAAAAAGTATGAGAATAACGTATATCAAAAGGAGAATCTAATATCCTTTCACACCATATAAAGTGTGATGAAATATTTTAAAAAGTCACCCAAACTTAAAATTATATACAAGTCATTTGCATGTTGTGAGTAGAGTCATTGTCCTATGGCACATTATGTGGCGAGCTGCAAGTAAACTTGACCTCCCATGTTAAAGGGTTAATGAGATGATCAAGTGTTTGCACACAATGCAGAGTAGGATCAACAGACTCCATACACAATGCGGATCTGGATCAACAGCCTGTAAAAGAGTGTCTGGACCAAATTCAAAAGGGGCCAAAGTGAGATTTAAATTTTCATAGCAAGAAGTACGAAGATTACTGTCTTCCTTAGAACTGACAGTGTTCATACACAGTGCAGAAGAGACAAAGAGTTTATATACACAGGATACAAACTGAACTGTAGCTCCTACATGATGAGGGCCCTAGATTAAGATTGGCTGTCTAAAGGCTCAGGGGTTTGCTGTGCTGGGCAAATGCGGGAATGTCTCTTGAGGTGTTCCCGTAGTGTGAAGCGCCTCTTGCACACCAGGCACTGGAATGGTCTCTCCCCAGTGTGTGTGCGAGTATGTCTGTTCAGGCTCTCCTTTTGAGAAAACTGCTTGTTGCACACCTGGCAGCAGTATGGTTTTTCTCCAGTGTGGGTTCGTGAGTGCTTCAGTAGCTTGTCATTGCGAGAAAAATCCTTCCCACACACTTGACAAGTATATGGTTTCTCCCCTGTGTGCATGCGAACATGTTCCTGAAGCTTGTCATTGCGGGAGAACTGTTCCCCACACACAGTACAGCGGTACGGCTTCTCCCCTGTGTGTATTCGACAATGTTTCTTAAGGTCCCAGTCAGAAGAAAACACCTTGCTGCATACCGGGCACTGGAACGTCTTATCTGTGTGGATCCGCAAATGGGTCTTTAGTGTGCCATTGTCAGTGAATTGCTTGTTGCACATGGTGCAATGGAAAGGCCTTTCCCCTGTGTGGATCCGGAAGTGTCTCTTCAGATGTGTGCTATCAATGAATCGCTTGCTGCACAGCGCACAGTGGAATGGTTTGTCTCCTGTATGGGTCATAATGTGGTTCTTTAGTTTACCCTTTGATGAGAACTGCTTACTGCACAGAACACAAATATTTTCTCCAGTCTGTGTCTGCTTGACTGCAGTCCCATTGGAGGTGCTGGATTGCTTGTCCCCACTGCATAGAAAAAAACAAACATTAGTAGACCAAATTATCACAAGATAGGGCCAAATGGTAGATCTTTGGATCAGAAGTATTAACAGAAGATGAGGAAGAAAGGTACAGGAAGCCCAATACAAACCAGACCTACATTTTATAAGGTCCATCCCAATTTTCCAAACAAATTTGGTAGGCCAGCCATAATAGTACAGAATACCAATGTTGCAGAATCTATATATTATTTGCACTTAATACACCCCTTAAAAAAAATTCAGCCTGATCTAATCTGTGGCCAAATGTGGATTTTTCTAAGGGAAATAGAAAATGTACATCTAAACTGGAGCAAAAAATATTTTTTACTTCACTTGAACAAGCATTAAGGATCTACTGGTGCATGTCAAAACACTATATGAGCAAACAAATGAGACATAATTAACTGGTCACTGTAAAGATATACCCTAGGGTCTTCACGGACTGTTACTGAAAGGATTACTGCAAGTACGGCAGTAGTTAAGTCCACCAAGGATGCAGAAAACTTTCAAACTTCATTCTCTTGGACTGAGTTCATTTAATGTGGCTCATATAGGCATTGCACAAATTTGCACACTTCACCAAATACCACTATGGTGACCAAATTGATATCTTATATATCATACTTATTGCAGCTCAACTGGCAAACTAAATTGTAAAGTATTAACAAAGGGGAAATAAAAAAACATAAAAATGGCATTAATATTCCTGGAAAACTCAAGTACACAAAACGTACAACATTAAAGAAATGAGAGACGAACACAACAATTTCCATTTTGCTGTTAATCAGTCTACCAGTTACTGCACATACCAGTGAATAACTGGTTATTGAAAAATAAAGCCACCTGCTGTTGCTACTAGCCAATGGAATGGAAATGACTCTAATAACCACTGCTTCAGTTACTGAATAACCAATGGCACTGATTTTTAATTATGAGTCATCAGTTCACTGTGATTAATATACTGCTCATTTCTA